CTGACCATCAGATTTGGAAAGCACTTAGCAAAGTTCACATGAGGAGAAATCCTATAAAGAAATTGGAAGAAAGGACAAAGTGGTGATTGTTCTTATTAAATAACAACACTAACACTCATTAGCTACCATCACTACAAGAGCCAGTTCTGTCCTGGGTGCTGTATGCACAGCATCTCATTATATCCATAATTTACAGGGTAGAATTATCTTCACGGTATTAGTCAGCTAGAATTGCCATAACAAAATACTAAAAATCGAGTGGCTTAAACAACAGAAATTTATTTCTCACAGTTCTGGACACCAGAAAGTATAAGCTGATTTGGTTCCTGGTGAGAGTTCTCTTCCTGGCTTGCAAACAACCACTTTCTCACTGTGTCCTCACATGGTAGAGGGGTGGGGATGATACAGAAACAGAGGGTGAAAGGGAGAGCCAGAAAGTTCTCAGGTGTTTCCTGTTTCCTCCTATAAGAGCACTAATCCCATCACGAGGGCCCCATCCTTGTGACTTCATTTAACCCCAATTATTGCCCAAAGGCCTCATTTTCAAATACCATCACAATGGGTTTTAGGGCTTCCACCCATGAATTGATAGGGAGAGTCAGGGAGGAACAGTTCAGTCAATAGCATCCAATTTACAAATAAATGATGTTTCAAGAGAAGAAGGAGTTCATAACAGATTATTCAGTTGGCACTCAGCAGAGTTTGAACTTGAACCCAAAGTTATCAGACTCTAAGAGAATAATACCTACTATTTATCGACTGCCCCCTAAGTGTCGTGTATCTGTACAACATCTCTATTCTATATGGGAAACCAAGTTTTTCCCATAATTCTTCCTGTTTATAGATATGAAAGCTCTGCCCCCAAATAGTTAACCAGCTATTCACAGCCTACCATCTAAGCCTAACATACTGCATAAAATTCATCCTAGTGGTTATTGAAATGAGGCCCCCATCATTACCTCGGAACTTATTAGAAATGCATATTTCAAACAGCAGACCTAGTGAATCAGGAACTCTGTAGTGATGTCCACAGTTTGTGTAACATACCTTCTAGGTGAATCTGATCCATGATAAATTTTGAGAACCACTTGTTTATTCTATAAATTTATTAAAATAACGAATGCATTAAAAACTCAATAATAAGTGGTATATCCAGAATTCAAATACAGGTCTGTTTGGTTCTAAAGCCTGTGGCTTTCTGCTACACTATACTCTTCCAACCCAACGTTACGAAGGGAAGATCTGTGACTGCAGAGCCCAGTTCTGAATTCTGTTTTGCCACTATAATGCCAGTCAGTTCTCCGACATACAAAAATATGATATCTCTGAGAATTTATAACGCCATGTAATACTGATCAAGAAACATCTTTGCTACGAACTAGAAACCAAGTTTTGTGAAATTTTTATTTGGGCCTGACAATTTTGTGTTCCATTTAGCATAAATAAGAAACAATCCAGTATATGGAAACAATAAGTATGGAACAAAGTTACTTTTAAAAACAAAAAAAAGAATTTTATCCCTCTTTGACTTATTTTTTAAAATTATGTTTAATCCATCTAATTGATCATTGCTTTATCTACATGTTGGCTCTGTATAATTAGACCATTTTCCCCCTCTAAGGAAAAAGACCATATTATATCCCTTTATAAAATCTTGATAATTTACACAAAGGGATAAAAATCTGCTTATAATAGAAATGGAGATTTCCATTTCTAATTTTTGAAGTGGTAAATGAAGGGGTACATGATCTCATGCCAAGTGCCTTTTTAAATCATTCACAAAATAAAAGCACTTTGAAAGGGTTATTTCCAATGCAAATATGGTCACCTGCTCGTGTGGTCAATACATCTCTAAAACATTTTATTAATATCTACAATATTAATGAACATGTGTCAGTCACTGCACAAAGCCTTTTACACGTGGTAAAACTCATTTAATCATCACACACACGTGAGGTAGCTTTTAGGATTATTCCCATTTCACAGATGAGGAAATTGAGAATCAGGGAGGGTAAGTAACTTGCCAGAGCTCCTTCAGCCAGGAAGTACAGGACTGTAGATATTAAGCTTATTAAAGAGCTCTTGCTGCACATTGATTCAGACACTGACGCTTGGCTCTAGATGGATGGACTCAGCATTGCTCTGCATCTGGATTAGTTCCAAAGGTCCATCTGTGAGCCTGCCTGACCCCCGGGATGGGGCGGCGCAGCCTTTGCAGCCTTGGCACTCCATCTGGAGAGACTGAAAGGGAACAGCAAGGTGGTGACTCAGCGGCCTGACTGTCCCCCAATCTCCTGGGAGACAGAGAGCAAAGTGATAAAGGGACAGAGTGGAAACTGTAGTTCTCCTTTCCCTGTTTGTTTTCCATTTGATTCTTAAAAACAGACCTATTAATCATTTAGTTCATGACTTTGGTAATTCCACTGACTCCCAACACATTTGAGTCAATGAAGCAAAAACTAGAAAGTTGTGTGTTCAAACTTCTCAGATGGAAGAAGAAGTAAAATCCTTTGAAAATACTTCACTGACCAGCAGAAAGACTCATGTTTTTCTGCTTCAGAGTTGTAGATAGATGTGACTTAAGCCATAAGTGGGAAAGCTTTGTGTGATTTATAACAGCAGATACTCTTTTGAGTAAACTTCTCATACTCTTTTAATCTACCTACCAAAAACAAAAGCTGTTTCCAGCAGAGCCTAATGAGGTGAAAAGGGCTTTCCAAGGAAACTGTTGCGTGTGCTTCTTGACTCTGTCCTGATCTAGGAAGTTCATCTAAGCTGAAATACTCTGTGGAGCTGACAGGAAGTTTGTTCAATGACTTTTGCCTTTCACAGCACTGCTTTCCTTATCTCTACAGACAGCTTCCTACTTTCCTTTCTGGCTCCCTTCCTCCTTCCCTTCACACACACTTTCACACCTCCCATCCACTCTGATTCTGTTCATTGACACCATAAAGAACACTGTTAGAAAGGGAGGCACAAGTTATGTAACATTTGAGGGGCTTTTAGTGTAGGAATTAAAGGCTAATACTTAGCCTGGCCAGACCTATCATAACATGCTATGTCCAGACTCTCCAAAATGGTGAGGGCCTATTTTGAGTCCCTCTTTCATATCTTTGTCAGCATTTGAGTTCACTGAATATGCTGGGAGCTTCAGATATAAAAAGATCCCATCCTTCCCCTCAAGGACCTGATGGGTTCCCGGCAGGGACAGTAGATTTATGAGTAGCAAAGCTCTCCCTAGTTAATCTGGCCCCAAATGTAGTGTGATGGGTCCCGTACCAGGTTACTTAAGGGTATATGTTCACTGCCTGAACCTTGAAGGCCAGGTTGTGATCCAAAGCCATCATGCCTAGCCAAGGAGCAGGTGTTTCTGAGAACCCAAACCAAGGAAAACAGTTCCGTCACACATACACAGTAGGCAAAGAGCCAAAGAATTAGCTTAAATGAAAGATGGGAAGCAGAATGAATCTCTAGAGCTGTCCTGTTACCGCCCGGGAATGCCTTGTGTCTTAATAAACTCATCTACTCACCAAGCTGGACTTTTCCAAGTCTCTTTGGTCTCTTGATATCTTCCCAGTTTCGGGGTGAGGAGGAAACATTACAATCCCAAGTTTTTCTCAGGACACCAAGTGGGTTCATCTAGAAAGCAATTTCCTAGAAAGCAACAAATCTACAGCAGTTCTCCCTGGCTCAAGGGTGGTAAGCCTTCTAGTAAAAGATTGGTTTGGAATCAGATCTACTTAAGTCTAAATCCCTGCTCTACCTTAAAAAAGTCACTGAATCTCATTGAGTCTCAGTTCTCTCTCCTATAAAATGCAAATGACATCCACCTCAAGAGTCTACATGGAGATTAACTGAGGAAATGTTATACAAAGCACATGGGATAATTCCTGGCGAACAGGAGGTACTCAATAAAGGGTAGTTTCCTTTCTTCTTCATTCTCTCTTCCCAGGTCTCACAAGAAGAGGAGTGTGGTCTCACGATGACATAAAAGAGACTCTAACAATATTAAACACTTCAGTAGCACCTACTGCATCCCAGGCACTATTGTAAGTGCTTTATATACTTCAGCTCATTTAAGACTTCTCCAAAACCCAATGAGATAAGAGCTATTATCACCTCTACTTCATAAACGAGATGGCAAGTAACTTGCCGAAGTCACACAGTTAGTATGTATGTGATGGGGCTATGATTTGATCCCAGTTTATCTAGCTCTTAACTATAACATTATTAGGAAATAGATAGTAAGAGAGGTGCTAACTGCATCTGGAACTCAAGTACACAAAACAAGCAGTCCCCAGACAATGGGCTCTGTTTGATTTGCACAGTGTTTTAAAAACCAAGTCTGTATTTCTGACTGCTCTCAAAAAAGTTGGAAGATCTGGCACTAGGCAGCTCACATAATGGTGTGGCCACAAGCCATTGACTGGTGGCCGCTGTCTGGACTGAGGTCCCCAGTTCAGCAGTCTCTGGTGCTCACAACTGTGTTATAAAGGCTGCTTCACTTCTGACCCGCACACACATTTGAACTTGTGATCCAGAATTAAGCCACACTCTAAACATGGTCTAAGCCATAAAGACACAAGAATTGTGTTCAATAATGTGTACCCAATGGTTAAAATGTTTGAATGAAATGAAGGGAAAAAAAATGAATGTTAAGAAAGAGGTCTGCATGAAAAGCAATCAACAAACAAGTTCAAACACAACCACATAGAAAATGCCTGGACAAGCCTTTGAGCCCTATGTGCAGAAATTGTAAACCCCTGCTATTCTCCACATCCCCACACCTAAACAAAAACCTGAAAATGCAGGTTTCCTTATAATCCATGGAGCAAAGACTCTTTTGCCTTCAATGTTAAATGCATTTCTCTTTGTTTGGCATAGCTAAAAGAGGGAGTTTAAGTTTTCATGTACTACTTAACCCAAACAATAACATTTCAACTATTTCTCTCTCTCTCTCTCTCTCTCTTTCTCTCTCTCTCTCTCTCTCCCTTTTTTAGCTCTTTAGGCCTTAATGATTGACATGATTTTGGAGATCAGTTGGTATGTAGCAAAACGCTCCTAGAAACCTGGAAGATGAGGCAAGAGGAAAACATGGAGCCCTTTCTGCATAAGCCTATGAGAGAAGAAGAATCACTTCAATTTGTAAGTGTGGATCCTGGGGGCTGAAAAACTTACCTAAGACCATACAGCCAGCAAATTACTGACCCAGCATATTCTGAACCCAAGTCTTTGTTCTTTCCAAGACTTCACAGTGTCTTCCTTAGAGTATATCTGCATGAAAATCATGTTTAAAGAAGTGATCTGTGGTGTCACCATTTGTATCAAAATGATATCACAAACTTATTTAAAAGTCTTTATCTAAAAGTCTTCCTAACAGTTATATCTTTGGCCAGGGGAGACCTCTAATATCACACATTAATAACCCTACCTTTGTAACATGTAAATTGTTTTTTGTTTTACCATCTCAGTTTCATTATACTGAGACCAGAAAGAGCCATCATCTTTTTACCAATTTATAATCATTTTATTGTATTATGGACCAGCAGCAATGCTGATTATATTTACAAATCTCTGAGTGAAATTTTAAAACCATTTTCCTCTTCTAATCTCTCCCATCCTGCCTTCTTAGAAGCACACAAAGCATCTCAACCACTCCCAAATTCCCTGTTGGAATACCCTTAATGATTCTGACATATTTTGTTATTCCCTAAACACCGCCCTAAAGACGAATCACTGGACTCCAGGTTCTTCACATTGCCAAGTTGAATAGTGTTCAAATATTCTATCTAACCAAACTCTAACTTACAACAAAGCCACATATAGTAGATGATGTGTAAGATATTCCGAAAATACCAAGGCAACAGGGAAAAAAACCTGTCATCAAGAGGTCCTCCCAGAACTACTTGTAATGTAGAATAATCATTTTTATCAAGCTCCTGTAACTTAATCATAGCACACGTGTATAAGCATATATCTAATAATATAAATCAATTTTCATTTTAATAATGTATAGCTTACATTTTCTCACATCTGAAACAATTAGCGTTGCCAAATTTAAGATTATTTCTCTACTTTGGACATCAGAACATGCCACAAGGACTTGAGGAATAAACAAACCCAAGAAAACAATCTTAGCCTGCTAAAGCAAAAATTTTAAATAAATTCATAAATCATTTTTAAAACACAATCTTACCTATTAAATTAGTCATTGCATAGCATGTTATGAATGTAAAAGCAGAACACAGAAAAGGCATTTTCCAAAAAGATATAGGGCTTACTAGGGTTTCCTTTTATGTTAAAAAATGGCCCATGGAAAAGCAGTTTTCAGAACGACCAGGGCATAGTCAGACACCTCTTTAATGGAAGCTTCACTAATCGGCACACTTCTCCTGAACTCAAAGTTTTGAATCCAGACTCAGCTCTTGCCAAAGTTCACTGGGAGTTTTGCTAAGTTTCAAGACGATCCCACCTCAAAGCTCTTTGGAGACAAAGTTAAGATAAGTTCCCCTTAATAGTTTTAAAACAATACGAACATATAAGCAAACTGTGTAAGGCTACATAGAAATTATTGAATTTTAATTTTTTCGAAATACAAACACTTTAAAGAATTCTCCTTCTCCCTTATTTTGTTTTACTAGCACCAAGAATAATGCATAGCACATAGTTGATAATAAATTCAGTGCTTGTACAAATAAACCGAAAAATTCTCACAAGACCAGTAGGGGCAGTTCTACAAATCTCCCTGTAGCCCTGCAATTTTCAAAGGCTTCATCACACAATTCCCCTCATGACTTTTTGGTTCACTAATCCTAAAGCCACACAGGCAGAAAGGAAGGAAATCTCAGAAACCAAAAAGCCATTTTTCCTGTCCATCCGGTCACATATTTTTAAAGTTTTAGAGCTAAAAGTGATATTAGAAGTTGCCTTTGAACAGTCTCATTTCACATGTGAGAAAACTAAAAGTCTAAGCCCTAGGGTTAAGTGATTGAGCCTTGATCACTCAGCTGACAAGCACCAAAGTACTTCCCGTTATTATTTCCTACATCTCCCCCTGCAGTGACCACCCCCCTACCACCACCAGAGAGTATTTGTAGACTTGGGTATTTCCTTTAAAAGTCTCAAATGACTTTGCCTGGGGTGTGGTGGAGGGACCACAATTTTATTATAATTTACCAATAGGCGGGAGTTTTGTGCCACTAAAAAGTATGTATTGACTGATCTACTGAATCTTTCTTTGGGGGGGAAGGTTTTTTTTTAAAGCCTATTTGAAAATGAAATACTTCATTGCTTTCAGGTTATTAAATAAATAGCTCCAGGGAAAAAAATGTATCATTGTTTCTTACAAGTATTAAGACAAAAAGGTAAAACTTTCAGTGTGGCCACAAGAGGGCAGCTACAACATTTTCTCCTAGGTCTTTGCAGTTATGAACTATGACAAACTGGGCATTTGGGGGCTCAGCTTGCCATGGACTCCCTATTAATATCTTTCAACTGAATCTCCCATATGTCACAAAAACATTCCCTCACGATGTTTCCTGGGACATTTTTTGTTTTGTTTTTAAAGAAATTATTTTCCAACTTCTTTCCAGATATAGAGAGTCCTCTGCTTTAGAACTCTGTGCCAAAGTTACCATCTATCTACAGAGATCTTTGGAGACCAGTAAATTGTTAGGCTAATTTGAAAACCCACAGAAATGTTTTATTTTAATTAAGTTTGACCCCAGATAAAAATAAAAACAGTAATGATTATCTGATTCCACCACACTTAATAAAGCTTGTTCTAAGTGCTTCACAGGATTGGCCAAATATTTGCCTCATTTCAGCCTTCATTCATCATTCCCATTTGCATGATATCCTAAAATCTTTCAAGTCATAATTTATTGTGGAATTTTATCACTAAGCTAAACTGTGGGAGGTCTGCAAACAAAAAAGCAGAGATTAGTAATAGCTACATTCCATATTCTTATAGTTGCACAAAAACAAATTCAAACTTATTTCATCTTTTAGGTACATAAAGAGTGGGGAGTTAATTTGAAAAGTGCCAGATTTTATATGTATATATGTTCATGTGTCTGTGTGTAGGTATGGCTGTGTATTTATACTCATTAATAATTTTTTTGTTTTTTCACTAATAACTATAGGTCAGTAGTTTGGATATTTCATATTGATGTTTATAGAATTTGAAGATGTACATAATGATGTGTTTCCTTCACATTTACCATGGAGCCTTTCCCCTAACCATCTTATTTAAAATTACAATCCCTCTCACATCCTCACCCCACATACCCTGTCCTCATTTCCTGTTCTATTTTTTCCCTTATCAACATTTGAAATACTTTATATTTTACTTGGTTTTTATTAGTCTCCTTCACAAACACCCCCTCCCCAACTAGCATGACAAAGACAAAATTTTTTCTATTTTGTTTATTGCCATGTCTTCAAATCTTACTTACAACAGTGCCTGACACATCAGAGGAACTCAGTAAAGCAGCAACATGGTAAAGTCACAAAAATTGAAGCATGTTTACTAGGAACTGATATTTTAAAATCTCTGGCCTTACTAATTTACTTCCTTACATTTAAGGAGACCTCCTAAAAAGAGATAATAGCCCACTAATCAGAATTGAAGCATGTTTCCTAAAGCAAGTATCTGAGACAATATTTGGGCTCATGACTATGGCTGAGAGTATGCTCTTGAATCCTCAGACTCAGCAGGTCCTGTTTCCCAGAAGTTACTCAGACCTGGACTGAATTCTCAGTAAAGGTGGCCTCCAAGAGTTGTGACAGCATCACACTAGCAAAGCAGTGGGATTAAGGAAAGAGCAGTGACCTATCGATAAGAAGCCCATAGTTCTAGTTCTGCCGCTGCCACTAGCTAGCCAGGAGTAAAACTATCCACTTCAATTGTTAGTGCCTTAATGTCCTCTAAAAGATAATGGATATAACACCCCGCCTATATCAAAGAATTTTGGAATCCAGTGAAATGTGAAGGTATTTTGGTAAGTATGGAGTGTTTTTCAAGTAGAAGATGTTATTAAAATCAGTGTTTCCTGTACTGTGCTATGTAGTGCCACCATTTGGTGTGGCCAATCCACAATTTAATGGTTTAATTAAATTACTCTGACCGGGTGCAGTGGCTCACTCCTGTAATCCCAGCACTTTGGGACTCCAAGGCAAACGAATCATGAGGTCAAGAGATCGAGACCATCCTGGCTAACATGGTGAAACCTCGTCTCTACTAAAAAAATACAAAAATTAGCTGGGCATGGTGGTGCACGCCTGTAGTCCCAGCTACTCGGGAGGCTGAGGCAGAAGAATTGCTTGAACCAGGGAGCCAGAGGTTGCAGTGAGCTGAGATCAGGCCACTGCATTCCAGCTTGGCAGCAGAATGAGACTCCGTCTCAAAAATAAATAAATAAATAAAATAAAATAAACAATTCTAGGCTGGATCCAGATCCAGCAGTCAAGTGATGGTTTGTCAGACCCTTCTTGGTACTCTAACCCCTAGGCCCTCTTCTTGCCACTGTTAGGTTTATTTGACCCCAGAGGCTCTGCCCATCCTGCCTCTAGGATCAATTCTAAGTAAAAACAAAAGACACTTAAGGGAGCTCTATCTCCATAACAAGGAATTCACATCATGTCACAGTACTTAGACCAGCCCTGATCGTGTAACCCAATGCTGGTAACTGGGCATCTTCTTTCTTCTTCTTTGGATAATCAGATCAAGAATTTGTCTCCTCTTGGAAGCATTTCACAATAAGTATTCAATAAATATTTGCTAAATGAGTGACAAAAAAAGCCTTTATGCCAGTGTCTCTCTTGGTTTAGAGCTCTCTTGGTTTAGAGGTAGTTGTCAGTACCTCCTTTAATCCCTTACCCCTTCACTCCTGACTGCCTTCCCTGATGCTGTCTTACCACCAGCAGCCTACACATGAGAGCATCAGAAGTACAAGGTATGTTCCTCTATTCCTACGGCTACGTTCAACCACATTTAGGACTTCTCACTTCTTCCATTAGACTCTGTAAAGCCAACTGCTTATCTGATCCATGCTTGGTTGCCATATCCAGTGGATCCCACCTTCTATTTGCCAACTGTCCTCTCTCAGGGTCTAAAACAGGTCTCTATCCTCAGGGCCAGACTCACTTTGTTCCTGTTCCAGCTCATGGTTCATCCATACCACAGGACCCTCACTGGGTTAACTGCAAGAATGCTGTTTAGTCATGCCTACCATGGCAGAAACCTGACAGCACACAAAACAGTGCAAGTAATGTTCAACTTCAAAAAATGTTCTATTCCAAAAATTTGCTTGCAAATAGATTCTTTAGCACTTGGGAATGCATATCTCTACACCAACAACCCATATACTTCAATAGTCATTCCTTCAAAAACATTCACTGAGTATCTTCTTACTTTGCACTGTTCTTGGCACAGGAGAAGAGAAAGTGAGACACAGTCTTCTTCCTCCAGAAGTTCACAGAAGAATAAA